GACGGTGGGGAGAATCGAGGGGCCCGGTCACGGGAGCGAGGTCCATCACGAGAATGAGACCGCCTGGTCGTTAACGACGCACCTCCAGCTCGTGCTAACTCTCCAATGGTCGGCTGGGGTCGGGGTGCCGCTTGTTCACGGGATAGTCGCTCCGATGGTGCCCGTTTGTCGTCGCAAACTTTGTTGGAGGCACTGGATCCTTTGGAATCCGTCCGTCCTCGCGTTGCTTCGTATTTGTCCGAGCCACCCGCACGCGCAATTTCGCCGAGGGACGGAGCAGTTGGTTGCGACTCGGATGTTGGCTTCGGCAGCACTGAGCTTCGCTCTTGATTTGACGCGCGCTGAGGCTCACTTGGTCGGCTGTCACTTCCACTGGCATGGTTGCTTGGACCAGAGCTGTCCGACGCCACGCTCGCATCGACAGATTTGTTGGACTGCGAAAGAGATTGCGATGGCGCTGGTTGAGGTCCATCATGATTGTCGTTGGGCGGTCGAAGGCTGCTTTGGCTCTCAGGGGACGATGGTGCAGGTTTTGTTGGTGATCCAGTCGGAAGAGGTAATGTGGGGGCATTCAAGCGAGCGGGCGACGACGGGGGTGGCGCTCCTCGGAGTACAGGAGAGGTCGTGTGGTTGGTTGCTGCCCGTGGCGACAAAGGTGTTGTGTTGGCAATGGAATCCATGCGCTTAGCCGGCAAAGTGTGCAATGCTGCGAAACGAGAAGGGGGTGGTGTCGATGCCTCTTGGTGGGGGCTAACGTGGCGTGTCGAGGGAGAAGCTGTAGTCGTCCTCAAGGGAGATGCTGTCGGCGCAGCAAAGCGAGACGGCACTGCAGCCGGCCGCTTGGTGTGCGCATCGTGTGCTTTCGCCTGCTCATCCATGTCGTAGACGATCCAAATCTTCTGGCCGCGCACGGTCAACCCTTTTGTCACGAGCATCTTGACAAAGTCCATCGAGTCGAACTTGGCTTTCCCGACGGTTGTGCTCCAGTACGTCGCCTTCAGTCGCTGAAGCTCTGACTTCACGTCTGGCCAGACCTCGGCGAGGTCATTTGGGGGCGTTGGGTACGAGCTGGCCAAATGAAACACAACTGATGCCACCTGAGGACCGCGAGCGAACAGAGCGACCAAGTTGCGGTTGTCGAATGGATGCGTCGAAGCGTACTCGATCACTTGGCGGGCTTTGTCGATGGTCGTGCAGTTGAGGAACGCGTTGTGGTGATGCTTCGATGCCTTGTTCAAGTGGATCTTTGACAGCGTCAGAGTCGGGTCCACGTTTTGAAAATACGCGAGCAACTTGCCCAGCTCCGTGCCTAGCTGAAATCCCTTGATGTACAGATATGGCGACGGCGGAATGCATTCTACATGTGCACGTCGTTAGCACCATGAAAAACGGAGATGAATCGGTCAACTACCTCGCCGGGGCTCGGGTTTCGCGGGAGACGACGGCACTGCGGCGGTCGTGAGGGAGCTGGATGGTGCAGAGGCAACGGGTGCAGTAGGTGCAGGAGTGAGAAGCTTTTGCAATGATGTCAAGTGACGCAGGAGGACGCCCGACGTCTCTCGCGCCAAGGTTGCATGCACAAACTGTCCCAGCTTTTCGTGCAGAGGGAGGGAGATCGTGGTTTGACCCTTCACAAACGTGACAAGGCCGAGGATAGCATGGATGCGAACAGATTGGCTTTGTTTGCCGTCACCACCTTGGCTCAAATTGATGAGTGCATCGATTGCTGCATCTTCGTGGTGCGGAAAGGTGGGAGCGTGCTTGGATACAAGTTGCGCGGCCAAACTCTTGGCCCCATCGGTGCCACCTGGCATTTGAAGGACGCGGAGGATATCAGCAAATACTATTTCCTTCTCCTTCACGTCCTCCAACACCTCCAGCCGCGTCCCCCACTCATGAAGGTCCTCCATCGCACGTCGGCGTGCTTTGTGTGGTGCTCACCTCGTCGATGTTTAAACTGCTGCATCGAATATCTCGACGAAACCGGTTAACTGCGAGGTGATTATCCGTACCCTCTCGGTCGATTTGGCGCGCGAGTCGCCAAGATGGACGTGCGCAGGGTGGCGCTGCCGACAGGGCTGGTTCCGTACAGCTCATGGAACAGCAGTCTCTGCGGGATGTTTGGGTCTTCAAGATGCGCTATGGCGTGCGAGAATGGAGCTGTCATTTCTATGGACGCGTGCGACAGCGATGGGCAAGTCCAGTTCGTGAACGAAATCCACCTTGGCCCGGTGGGACTTGAGCGATTCTGCCACGCCTGGTCCACACCCACGCATGCTCTAGCCGTCGCCCATGGAGATACATTGTCCCTCTACGATGACAAGTTCGACAGGCAGTTTGAACTCCAACTCCCATTTTTCGCCAAGCACGTGGCATTCCATGGCACGAAGTTGATTGTGTCGACGTCCAACGGAGCCTACCTCTACCACGTGTGCCAGAAATCTCTGCAGTGCACTCTCAGTGAACACATGTACCGCGACGTTCCCGTCGGGGTGTCGGCAATTTCGCCGTGCGGAGCACACTTTGGCATTGCCGCGATTGATGGGCGCGTCACGTTGTGGGATGGCGAAACGATAAATCGCGAGTTCTCCACGACACTTTCCTCGTCGCGGCCAACGTCGGTCGCTTTCTCTGGCGAGTATGCCGTCGTTGCATGCAAAGACGGCCATGTAAGTCGCGGCATTGTGGCCCATGGGGTGTCATGCGTCCTGATGTAGGTGGCCATCTTCCAGCACGAAAAAGAGACGAAAGCATGGTCAAGTTCGTTTTGTTGGAACTTCAGGCCAGACACAGCTGCGTCCGGGTACCTGTCTAGCACTCTCGTCGCGTTCTGGCCGGCGCTGCCTTCGTTCTTTTGCGTCGTCCACAGCTCGTTCCTAATCGAGATCGTTGACGCGTCCAGCGGACGGCGCGTGCATCACGTCGCGTTCCCGAGCCATGTGCATTTCATGGGACTCGTGGCGCTCGACGACATCCTGTTGGCGCAAGATTCGCAAGGTGAGTCACAATACTTTCACCGAATTCTTCCCGGGACCATTGCCACCGGCGCGCCGAGTGTAGGCAATCTATACAGCATTGCGTGGGCCTTCCATCGCGCGATCGCTGGACGAAAAGACGTACCGCAAGCAATCGCGGTGCACACTAGCGAGCTTGGGACGTTGTATTTGGAGCGGCAGGTCCTTCGGCGAGTGGCGCGACCGAGCCAAGTCAGCGACGTGATCCCGATGCCCTTTGTGCCCCCTCGCCCCGACAAAGACTTGAAGCACCCGACGCGTCGGACCTTGTCGGCACATTGGATCCTTCCCGACTGCGTGTGCGTGACTTACGGCGACGCAGTCTATCGCTACTGTCGTGGCAAGTGGGACGCTGCCGTCGTTCCCACGGGCGTCCGCCGAATAGCGTATACCCCACGTGAGTGAATGACCCGACAAAGCGTTTGCATCAATGTCCAACATAGACGACGCGGCGGAAGTGGTCGTGTGGGGGCACGACAAGCTGGCCGTGTTGAGCCTCGACACGCTGGAAACCTTGTCTGTGCACGCGATGCCCGCCGACGTGGCGCAGCGAGACGCATTCGATGCACTGTCAGCGACCATCCATGTCCACCGTGAAGAGAGCGCTCTTGTCGTGCGGCTGATGGACCACGACGTCGAGTTGTGGCGCCATCGCGTGCTCGGTCGTGCCATGTTTCCGTCGGAATGACCCATTTCGACTGAATTTGGTGGTTTTCCCGTGGATAACGTAAACAATGGACAGTTGCGAATCCCAGAGGAATTCCTTCACATGTATGGCACGATGGGACGTCGTCACATGCTGCGCCGTCTTTGAGGTCTACATCCATGAAATACGCCTTTCAACGTCGATACCGTTCCATACCACACGGACGACGTTGGAGCGATATACACGTAAGGCGTAGGGATGTCGGTGCGGCCGGATCTTATTGCATGACCGTGCATCTCAAGTGTTTGGAGATCCAGCGCATGCAGCACGTGATGTTGGGGGCAGAATGATCGTCTGTGCTTCCTAGAAGGATTTCCTCGATCTCCATCTTCCATCTCGGTCGACGGCGGGGGAACGGGGCAGGAAACGAGTTGGGGAGGTGAAAGCTAGCAGGGCTGGCGTCGCATGTGCCCCCAAGTGCTTCGCTGGGGCCGCGGAACGTAAAGTAGTAACATGCTATAGACAGAGATGACGAAACTGTGTGTGACGGTGTACCCATGTGACATGCAAGCCAGCTCTCGACGCGGGTGGTGACGTAAGCCAGGCAAATGCAGCGCGAGGCCACCGGCACAAACGAATTTACGCGAATTTCAACACGTGCAAACGCGTCGCCCCAGACAGTTCCTGACGTGCTCATGTTCGACACCGAGTCGTACCAAGCTGTCAAGGACACCAGCACGATCACGCCGTTGGTGGCGTCGCCCGCCATGCGCCGTTCGATTCTGTGCGCGCTCCTCGGCGCCTTCCAATTTGGCTGGATGATGGCCGAAATGGCATACATCCCCTTCCACCACCCGAAACTGTGCCTCCTCCCTCGCATTCCCCAGGGCCAGTGCCTCGTCTTTCCAGGACACTCGACTGCCGAGTGGACCATGCAAAGCACCGCGTGGGCCGTCGGAGGTGGCCTCGGTGCGCTCCTCAGTGCCGTCCCCGCCGACTACCTCGGACGGCAACGCACCCTCGGCTACAACGGATGTCTCATGGTCGCAGGCGGCCTCGTCCAGCTCTTCGCCACCGACATCTACACGTTCGCCGTCGGCCGCGGTCTCAACGGCATCGCGAGCGGCGTCGCCATCAACGTCCTCAACAACTACCTCCGCGAGCTCTCGCCCGTGCAGTGGCGCATGTTCTACCTCACGCTCGTGCAGATCGCGCTGTCGGTCGGGACGCTCGTGGTCACGACGTTCATGTACGCGATTCCGGACGTGCCGTCGACGGCGTGGCAGTTCAAGCCGCTGTTCGGGGGTCCCGTCGTGATCGGGGTGTTGCAGGTGGCGTCGATGCCGTGGATCGTGGAGAGTCCCGTGTGGCTGCTGCACCGCGACCAACTCGATGAGGCGCGCCACGTCATGCACCAGCTGTACATGCCCGCGGGCATTGAAGCACACTGGACGGCGCTCGTCTCGACGATCGACCGTCAGACCCGCGAAGCCGCGTCGTCGTCGTCCAAGCTGTCGCTGCTGGTCAGTCCCAAGTACCGCAAGCAGTTTTCGATTGCGATTGTGCTGGCCACGATGCAGCAGCTTTGTGGCATGAACGCGCTGGTGGTGTACGGCCCCGCTATGTTCAAGGCGATCGGGATCCGCGAGCTGCGACTGTCCAACTCTATCGTCAACTTTGGTCGGTTCCACGACATGTATTTGGCTGGCAAGTTCGGCGACCGCTTCAACCGCCGCACTCTACTCTTGGCTGGTTCGATGGGCATGATCCTGGGCTCGCTCGGCTTTACGTTGTGCCAGGTGTACCCGAGCGACACGAACGACTGGATACAAATTGCGTGCACGTTGATGTTTGTGGCGTCCTTTTGTGCGTCAATCGGGTCGATGGGGTGGCTCGTGTCGACGGAGGTAGTGCCTGAGGTGCTGGGGGCAACGTCTGGCGCTATCTCGACATGCTGCACGTGGACGGCGCAGTTCTTCATCGGCGTGTACTTCCAGCAGATCTCAAGCCCCGAGCACTGGGGCACGCAAGCGTTTGGCATGTTTCCGGCGGTCCTCGTCGTGTTTGCCGTGTTTGTGTGGATGTTCGTGCCAGAAACCCGCCACAGGACGACGGACGAAGTCACGGCGTTGTTTTCAGCGATCGCAGACACCGAGTCATCGCGGCCAGAAAAGGACAATGAGGTGGCGTAAGCGCTGCCCCAAAGCACATATTAACTTTATTCAATTCGACTGGAACGAGTTCGACTTGAGACTTTCGCGCGCCGAGAGGCCTTTGTGGGATATCGCCCCCTCGCATGGCCTGGAATGCCAAGTCATGGGACGTGCCACTCATGCTTGTTTGTGTACCATGGTACTTTGTGGTGTCCTGCGGCAGACCAAACTTCGCCGTGCTCCGTGGAGAGGCAAGTGCCTTCGACAGCGGCTCGTCGCCGGTATAGGGGGTGGTCCATGCGACAGTTCCTTGAACTTGCTGGCATTGCCCCTGCGTCGACCGGTGCGTGGACACAATTGTGTGACATGGATGGACTGCGCTTCTACCGAGGACGCCGGTGGATGATTGCCAGGTGAGAAGGGGCGACGAACGCGCATCGAATGTACCGCCATGCTCCAGTCGGAAACATGCAGTTACGCAGCGCCGCTGTCGATTGCGTCTATGGCAGGGCGATGGGGCGGCCGGAAGCAGGAGGCCGGCCGCAAGATTCTGTAGCCATCGCTTGAGCGACCACAGACGTGCGCTATCTTGTAGGACCACAGTAATAAAATACTTAATGCATGACATTTGATATGAAGTTGTTTGTAATAAAATAGTAATGTCACGTCAACAGAGACAGGCATTCCCCACGACGGTCAAGGAAACGGCACGATCACGACGCTGCCGTTGCTACAACAGCAGTGACGGGGAGATTGTGGACTGCTTGTCGCCGACCTTGGGAGTGGCATGGCGGCAAAAAAGAGCTGGCTGAGTAAGGAAAGGCACACGATGCACCACTGGTCGCCATACAACAACTTGGTTTCGGTTTCACCCGTAACCGCTGTCGTACTTACTCCGCCGGCGGCCAGTCAGACGGGAGAGAATCAATCATTGTTACATCGGTCGCATATTGGACCGACTACACACGGCGCCATGCCCAGCAACACGATTCGGCAACACGATGTCTTGAGCTTCACCGCCAACGACGACAACGACCGCATTCACATCATTCCCCCCAAGACCGTCATCAACAACGTCCTGCCTTCATTCCGCATGCGCCGTTCGATTCTGTGCGCGCTCCTCGG